TATATATATATATATATAAACACACACACACACACACACACACACACACACACATACATATAGTTTTTATTAAAAAAATTAGTTAAAATATTTAAAGTTCACCTTTATATCTTCTAGCAAGAGGCCTCGCATGTGGAACTCGTGTTCCTCTTCCCGCGATCTGGCCCACTTTTTCATACGCTCGAACCTCCTACGCTGTCACCCTTGCTTGTACGATGCTGCTTTTTTCCTTCAGCTTCAAATACACGCTTCTTCACCCTTGTTGAGCCATAGCCACTCTCCTACCATCGACACTGATACTCCGCAAGTTTTGTAGCCCTTGTCGAGTGTCGATCGACTCCCTTAGTAAGTCGTTCACGATTAGAGTAGGCATCTACTATAAATTCTCTCAATCTCGGCTTCGTTTTGAATTGATTTATAGAGCAAACTCACCCCTCAAGTTCCCAATCCCTTGCTTCATTTCCCTCCTTTCGACTCCCTCGAGAAGATGAAACCAGGCCTTACAAAAACCCCTTCCTTACCATTCCACCATCTCTCCAAGCCCCTAATCATCACCACTATCACCCGGGATGCCCCTTAATGTTAGTTTGTAGGTTGCGCGTGTGTGGCATTTTTCCTTCAAGTGTGTTTGATAATAACCGCATATTTGCTTCCAGTAATAATATTAAATTTCCTATTGTTGTTTGGGTTAACTTTAGTATTATTGAGAAACACCTTGAAGAAGATGATGGGATTCTCAGATACTTAAATAATACGCCAGGTAAATGTTTACTTTTTCAGAAAACCACAAAATAGAACATAGAGGCATACATCAACGCAGACTAGGTGGGCTCCGTTATTGACATTCAGATATGAAATTATGTCTAAGGAAACATGGTTATGGCGAAGTAAGAAACAAAATGTGGTGGCAAGAAGTAGTGCCCAAAAAAATATCGAGGTTGGGCCAATAGAGTATGTGAGATGTCATAACTGAAGGGAATTTTTGAAGAGTTACAAATCCCGATAAACATGCCAATGAAATTGTATCGTGACAATAAAGTCGCCATAAGCATTACAAAAAAATTAGTGCAACATGATCGCACAAAATAAGTGGAGATTGATACACTTCATCCATTTGCACGTCTTTCACTCCAACATCGCAACAAATAACAAATATATTCACCAAAGGACTTTTTAGGCATAATTTTGAGTTCCTTGTAAGTAAGTTGGGCATGATAGACATCTATGCTACAACTTTAGGGGTATGTTGGGGTGTTAGATTTTTTTAAGAAGATTTTAATTTTAGTATCTTCTATTACTAGTATTTTATACTTTTAGGATTCAGAATTGTTGGTAGGTCATAATTCCGATTTCCTTCTTTTATTATGGGGTGTTATGGCTGATCTTATTGCTTTCTTGATGTGGGAGCAATCCCCCTCTATTTATCCTATAATCATTTTCTATGAAATTGTGAAGGAATAATTATTGGTCTCCGAAAACCTACAATTCTGAACTATAATAATTAGGTAAACATCTATATTGCACGTAATCCCATCTGTCCATGAAAGAACCAAACAGATTGGAGTAGTCAACCACTTCATCAAAAATGCAATTTTGTCGAAGCAGATCATCATTTCAATTATCTCCAATGAAGAAAAAGACATATATTAACCAAAGCTCTAGGACTTCATCTTCAAAATCTCAAATAGTAAGTTAAAAACTTATTGATATATATACTCTAGATCGGGAATGAGTTTTATTGTAGAAAAGTTACTACATTGGAAAGTGAAATCTCCGGAAAGTACAAAATTAAGGATATATACTTGAGTATATTTTATACCTTTTAACTGAGGATTTTCACTTATTTATTTTGTTTCCAGCCATTTTGTATACTTTTTGTATGTCCTTAAAGGCATCTGATTTCAAACAACAGGAAAAAAAATTCTCTCTCCCAAACCATAATACCTTCAAAGAATCAGAGACCCTTGAACTGAAATCTCGAGCAGCTCTCATCGCATTCACATAATCCATCTGCAAAGCCAGGCAGATCATGTTTCAAGTACAAAGTAAAAAGGAAATGTCTCGTAAAATCTATCAGAACTTTACTTGTCCACTGAGGGGTGAATGATACGTTCGAAATGATGATGCCTGGATCATTCCACTATCAAAACCTGGCATACAAAATATGATTTTTTTTAAAGTTTGAAAGCAAAATTCTACACAACACATACTGAATTTGCCAAGCCCTCATGACTAAAGATAGGGAGAACGGACCAGTAAGATCAATGCTGGATGAGTATATTCCACTACCACCCTTTGCACAATTTGCTGAGGGAGATGCCTTGAGAAACCATGGAAGCTTCTCTCTGAACTGTGCTGTAGATGGACGGCCATCATGCAGGTCTGATTGGTGAAAACACTAAAACCACAAAAATAAATTAATTTTAATTCTAATATGTAGTTTGAAGGTAGATCAAATACCAAAAACAAATCAAAAAGGTACACGAGGAAGAAACAAAACTAGGAAATAAAATTATACTGTATTGTGAAAAAAAAAAACCATGCAAAGCTTGTTAGAAGAGTAGTACTGAGTTTAGGGTTTCAATCTACTCACCGTAGTGCAGTCTTTGCACACCCCATCGATGCCACACGTGCCCCCATTAGGCTGACAGCATGGAAACTGTATAGAAATTCATAAAAGTTTGAAGTTTATTGCATGAACTTAATTCGTTATCTTCCTAAAAAAAAAGAGAAAAATGCAATTTAAAGATTTGTGGGTTAGAATCAATAAATCTAGATGATACCGTAATTTAGCATAAGAACATGCGCTTTTTTTTCTTTTTGAAGCACAGAAACAACATTCACACCCAAATTGGATGAAGCTCCAAAAGCTCTGGGACTCTGCTTTGGAAAGATAGGGTCTTGAGCTCAAACTTGTACCAGTACAAAGGGTGGTCCTAATGGAAAACTAATTTACGAGGAAAAATTGGTCTTTGACAAATCACCTTCCGCAACTTCATTCTAGATTTATCTGGCAGAATGAAATAACATTTGCTAGATGCTAGCGATTGACAGTGAGTAGGCGAAAATGTAGGGTAGAATAAAAAAATGGGGATGGATAACATTTAATAGAATGAATATGACAATATATTTTAGTGATCCCAACTACGTAATATCACTAGCATAGCTCAGTGGTGATGAGCACAATAACCAATCTTCAAATTGAGTTACAATAAATTACTAATTAAATTGCAGATGCTGACGCAGGAGCCATCCTGTGGTTCCGCCGGATCCCACAATTCCACTTACGTTGGATGAGCGGGGATGAAAATTCTCGTCCAGTATTTGCAATGGCGAAACTTTCCTGCTAATTAATAGCCACTAGACATGTGGGCCCAATTTTTATATTACATTTATCAAAAATAGGTTTATTTCTGCAAGGAGACTATTGGTTTTTTTTTTTTTAAATTTTTAGGACAATTTTTTTTGCTTGGTAAATATTATTTAGAAATTTTTTTCCTCATGTTTTCGCTGTTGACATAATGTATCCTTTGATTTCTCTCAGGCAGTGTGACTATAACCTAATTGAATTAGGGTGGTGATCTCTCCTTGACAAATGAGAACTTCCTCCCTCTTCGAACTTGCTGCCTTCTGCTGTTTGACATCAGAAATTCTTTGCAACCGGCCAGCTGTTTAACCACCGGTTTGTGTCGAATCTCAGCCACCATCTCCCCTCCTAGCTCCATTACCCATCCGACAACTAACCTAACCCATTTATGTATTCTCCCATACCATTTGGTAACCCTAGATCGGTGTCAAAATCTTTTATTAAACACACTATATAGATAACACATAAATAAAAAAAAAAATTATTATGAAAAATATAATTAAATGGTTTAAATGTGAAGAATGAGCTATGATTCACATATAATTCTAATTAAGGAGTCGTGCAGTGTCAGCATGTATCAGGCACGAACACGTGTCATGACACAGAAGTGTACAATTTAAATAATATTAAAAAAAAAAGCTGCGTAAAGAATATGGGCAAGACACATAAAAGGGACTCTAGAACAAGTTTTGATTAATTAATTATTATTTTTTAAATATTTGTATGACTATAATTAAAATATATTTTTAATGTAAAACTTAAGAAATATTTAAATACATATCAACGAATTTTTTATGGACATATTTAACACATAAATTTCAATTTTTGCATATATGTCCCAATAAATATATGAAAAATGTGTATTTCAATTTTAAAATTGAAAATAGTGGTATATTAGATATGCCATGAAATATTTAGGTGGCATAAAAGAAAAATCAAAATTTGTTATTAGAAATAAATTCATAAGGATTCAGTGCCAAAGCAGCTAATTATCATTTTATTTCATTTAATTAAAAATTAATTAAGAGAACTTAAATCTTGATGTAATACAAAAAAATGTATGCCTATGTTTATACATTTTGATTATTTTTAAATACAATTTAATTTATTTTTAAAGATAAAAAATAAAATATATAAAAAATTAAATAAACTAAAACATAAAATAAAAATGGTGTCAAACGAGCTCTTTGTTTTTAAAAGTTAGTCATTAAATTTCATATTTTCAGCCATTTAGTTCTGCTTGTAATGTCAATACTAGTTGCAAGTTTTTCAGACATGCTACTCTTGGTGTATACTTCTTTTCTTTCTATTTCTTTCACATTAACTGTACTCCATTTTATTTGACAGCCTTTACTCTACATCTATCTTGCACAATTACGTACACGGAGGCATGGATACGACACGACAAGAGACAAATCTATTATTTAAATTATATGACAGATAAAATAACTTGAATAAATACCATTTGATTTTTCTCCTCCATACCATATTTCCTCAAATCAGTAGTAAATTAACCAAAAACGTCAGATAAAATAACTAATATAAATAAGGAAAAATAGAATAATTAAAATAAGAAATGAAAGTCAAAGTTTAGATTATTTTTATCCATTTTTAATTCTCTCATTAAAAAAAAGAAAGATTTACATGTATACCACTCAATTCTTCTGACATATCTAACATTTGAACTTGAATTTTTACATACATATCACCTTTCCTATATATGAAAATGTGTATTCTACTTTTTACAAGTTAAAATAGGGATATTTTTTATGCGATATAAGTGATTTGGGTGGAATAAATGTAAAAATAAAAGAGTATGTGTTAGATATGTAAATACATGAAAATTTGGTGATATGTACGTAAATGCCCCAAATAAAATAATGTATGTGAATAAATTTATCATAAACCCCAAAATCCTGTCCCAGCATCGCATAAGCAGAAGTTTTCATTAGTAACATGATCAGTTGTTTTCACGTGATATGTAATTAATCCTCGTGCCGAGAAATCACGCACATTCTCTTCCTAAGATTTTGAGGCACAGATGCATAGAAGACTCTGCCACAACGTCCTCGCTATGCCTTCCTCTTTAGCCACCGCCTGCACACCCTATCGCTCATCCAAAATCTCATCCCTTTCTCTTTCTCGCTAACTTGCACCCGATACTCGCATAACTGCATCCCTTAACCTACGCCTCTCATCACTCACCACATATTTTTCGCTCCCTTCCAAGTAGCTTCACTTTGTCCCTTTTTGATATCGGAGTTAACCCAAATAATAATAAAAAAATTAATATTATTGTTGAATTTAAAATAAGAAAACATAATCTCACAAACAACAATATAAATAACAACAAACACGAAAAAACACTCAAAATAGGGTGGATCTCGAGGTGGTGGAGGTGATTGGCGAGGGTTTGGTTCTCCCAATTGGTAACAAGGGTGGTGGAAGGCTTGGCAGCAACAAAAGTATGGGGTTAATCAGGGGGGTGGTGCATAGCTGTCAGGGACGACAAGTGAGGCTGCTATCCTAGACAGGGGCAACAATAAAGAGGGTGTTGGACAGCGTAGACGTGGCTGTAAGAGAAGTGGCTGGATGGTTGGAATAGCAGGTGAGCAGCAAATATGCACTGTCCCGAATGGTGGCAGCGAGGGGGAATAACAGTGACATCGACATCAACTAGGGATGCAAGAGACTTTAGAATACCAAGAGGACGACTGTCCTGAGCAGCAACGGTGTGGTCAAGTGCTAGAATTGAAAAACTACAGTGAAAAACAACAATCAATGTTGTTCTTTTAACCCCCAAATTCCAGAAATCAGATAAAAATTTTGATGAAGTCCAAAAGCACCCAAAATCTCGCATCCTCCGAAGTTCAATCAAATAATTTTTATAAAATTTTATGCATAAAATCAATCGATTCCATAAAAAAACACTATGTATGATATATGTACAAATTAGGAGATATAAAATTTGGAAGTTATATGTTCATTTAAACTTATTAATTCTTAATTATCCTAATTGCTCCCTAAATTTCCTCATTACTGTTCCCTGCCGACTCCAACCACATAACAGCGCATGCAACGGCTCAAAGGGATCAAACGACAGAGAGCTTTTGGGAACTTCTCAAGTGTCGCATTTCCTTTCCCCTCTCCTAATTTCCTCCCCCACCTTGTCTCAGTTCTGCTCAGCAGATAAGGTCTGCGATCCTTGCTACGGTGCAGGGGCGGAACGTGCAAACCAAATGACACCAAGGAAGCCACAACTGCATTTAAGCTTCAAAATTTCCTTTCCCTTCTCTTTTCTCTCGTGATCCCCCCCTCTCATTTGTAGGCGGCTCGGCAGCTGTGATCCTTGCTACGGTGCAAAGGTGAGCAGTGGGTCGAGCGACACACAGAGAAGTCGAAACTTGCTGTAGGGAGCTTCAAGAACAAATTAAATGGCACAAATTCCTCTCTCATTATTTTAGATTTTCATTTCCTTCCTCACATGTCTGTCCCGACGTTTACCTTGATTTTTGTGCATTTTTGATTTATGATAGCCGTTAGAGACACTATAATTGTATCAGAAGTGTCGAAAGAGATTTAAAAGATTTCATACGAGTTTTAGCATGATATTGGCGAGGAAGAAGTGAAAAATAAAGTGTTAGGAAGCATTAGGGAGAGAAATACACGATTTTGAAAAATCAAATTTATGCCGAGAAATTTATGTGAGATATGTTTTAGGCTAATAAATTATGTTTTGGGTTTAATGCATATTATGAGTCCAAATTTTATGAATTCCTATAATGCTTATGAATTCTCAGGTTATATATATGAGGCGGCAAACTTGAGACGAGCGTGTGGGCACTCGTCGAAGGGCTTCTCTTTCAATTCAAGTGAAATAATCTTGTGTTAATTTAAGAAAAATAATCTTCTATAGATTTTCATATAAATTATCACTAGACAAAGATGCACTTAGAAATTCCTCATACTGTAAATGAATACATGCTTAAAATGTATGAATGCAAGCATACTTCTTTTACTATACATGTGATGCTATATTATATTATGATACATTGCATGTATTCATTTATAATTCATATAAGTATATGAAATGTCCATGAATGTATGCTACATATATTATGTTTTAAGAAATATCATGATTAATGTTATGGTAGATTACTACAAGAGTGCTTGCAAGTACACTATATAGGGATATAGTATTTCCGACTTCTGATATTTATATAGGGATAAAACTCTGAACTATTGAAATTAGACAATAACAGAGCGTTAGGGAACCGTGAGTATCAGAGAGGTCATTAATAACTGTTATGTTGGGGGAAGCTCATCCTTTACCGATAGTTTATATGGTCTTTGGAGCAAAATGATGACCTATGATAAAAGTACATGAAAATAGTTGAGCCCTAAACACTAAACAAGTGACATTACTATGAAATGACTTTATTATGATTACTTATGATAAACTGCTTATGAACATGCTTTTGTTTATACTTATGATTTCATGTTTACATGTATACTTTGCAGGCTAGATTTTTATACTACTTGCTCTCTTTTTATGTTTTCTATTATACTAGTATGTTATGACTTGTGAGTTGAAACGTTGCTTCCTTTTTATGTATAAAACGTCATGTTAGCCCTTATTATTTCCCGGACCTTGTTTTTGCTCATTATTCGTTCTTGTTTTCCAGGTATGAGCAATGAGCACCGGGGTGAGTAGTCAGACGTGTATTTATACAACTTTTAAATGATAGTTTTTAGAGCTTGTATATATGTTTTGGATACGTACTTTTATTATATTAAATTTAGCAGCTCTGTATATTTTTCATGTTTTGGATATTATTTTCATACTTCCAAGTATGTATATGAATAAATTATGAAATGCAATGTATCACGTATGTTGCGGCGATTTTGTTAGACTAATTCATCACTCACGGGGTCTTGATTATATAACTAATTCTCAAATTGTCGGCCTCTATCACACCACGATTGACCCTACCAGGGGCGTTAGTTGGGGTGTGATAGTTCTGGGGTGGCTGCAGAAGGAGGGATGTTGGGAGCAACATGAGGAGGATGCGAAAGGGGATAGGGAAAATATATACTATCTCGGGAGAGAAATACAGCCGCAACACCACTCAAACCCTCAGATACAACCCTAGAAGCGAGGACATGCCGACGACTGTCCCGATACAAAACAAATAAAAAATCGCCTCTTCAAATTATAATATAAAAAATATATATGAAATGACTAGAAATGAAGGATAAAAGTAAACTTGTTGGAAATTAGAAAGAAAAATAAAATAAGTGTTCTGTTCAGCTTAGTCCCGATCGTAGTACTCAGGAGCAGGACACCCACATACACGGGATCACGTGCCTTGTAAAGCTTATGGATAAGTCTTCGATGATTGAGGGAGCTTCGAACTCATTCGTCGAAACTTCTATCTACACATTGAAGGCGATGAAGCTCTTGTAACCTCAAGAGACTAAAGAATCTTTGACCGTGACCCTAGCACCTGGGCCCTAAATTTGAGGTGTTTTCCCCACTTGCAAGCGACCATCCATATCATTCCAAACTTCGAAGGGTACACTATGTAATTGAACTGCGAGCGTGCCAAATAAACCCTAAATTGGCTTAATGGCACAGGGCTTCTCTCTACCTGAATCGGCCTAGAGCAACTGAATCAATGCAGCTAAAAAAAATGGGGTCAGTCGACCCTAGTGAACTAGGGTTACCACGCAGTAGGAGTGGGGTTGTCCCATGTTAATTACCTAGTATTATTTATATGTTGCTTTTATGTTTTAGGTCATTTTTTTGTTGTGTTTTTTGCCAGGATAGCCATCGACATCAACTGTTTTTCCTTCGCTTGCTGCTCCGATTGTATCTTGTTCTAAGGTGATGATTATCCTTCGTTTTCTCCTTCTGCAACCTCCTCCTTGTTGCCAACATCCACCTTCTGACCTGCAGTCGTCCTTTAAAGCGTGCATTTTGCATTAATAAAAAAATCTATAAAAGCTACACAGAATTGTTAAGAGTGATTGGCATCAGTCTCCACCTCATTAAAAAAAGTCATAATTGTGAGCATCCCAAGGAGAAGATCTATCCAAAGCTAGTTGATAACAAAAATAGGTGGGATTACCGTCAATCATAATAGGGAAATCCATAGTGAAATCCATAAAGGAGAACAAGAAGAACACTTGAATACCTACCGTAGGGGAATGGTTCCGCTGGAGAAGAAGACATACCACAACACTTTGGGATACAATATCGATGGAGGCCTAAATCTTAAGTGTCTATTAGAAGATACAAAGATGAGGTGCTTGTTGGAGGATACAAATAAGAGATGCCTATTTGAAAATACAAAGATGAGGTATCTGTTGGACGATACAAAAATGGTATGCCTAATAGAGAATACAAAAGATAGAGTGCTTGTTGAAGATATAGAGATGACATGTCCATTAGAGGATACAAAAATTTGAGAATGAAGGTGGACCTACCGAACTTTGAGAGGAGAATTGATTCAAATGATTACATTGAATGAATGCAGAATGTTGAGCAAATCTTTAAATATAAGGAGGTGCCCGATGACAGATGAATGAAGCTTGCCCCATCAAGCTGAAGAAAAATGCTTTTGTGTGGTGGAAGAACCTAAACAAGAAAAGATAGAGAGAAATACAAGACGTAATCACTTCTTGGGAGTAAATAAAAAAGGTAATACAACAACAATACACACCCCGCACTTGGGGGGTGTAAACGAGCCGAACACGAGCGAGCCATGCTCAGCTCGTGTTCGGCTCGTTTATATTTCGAGCTCAAAAAGTGTGTTCTTGTTCGGCTCGTTTGCTTAACGAGCTGAACATGAGTGAACTTGAGCTGTTCACGAACAAAAAATCTTTTTAACAACCCTAATTATGTAGCCGTAAGACAATAATAGTTTGAGCAAGATTTAAAAATTTTATTTATATTAAAACATCATTTGAATCTAATTTAATAATTTTTATTCTATTTTATTAATCAATACTTTAATTGCAATATTAATCAATACTTTAATTGATTATAAATCTTTGTAGCCTTGTAGTCAATTTGATTTTTTTAAAATAGTACTTTTTTTTAAAGAAAAGATACAAAAATTGAAGGAGGGAGGATCCCATTCTATAAAAGAAAAAAAATAAAATAATATATATATATATATATAACTTGATGAGTAATATTTCGAGCCAAAACGAGTCGAACACGAACGAACACATCTTAGTTTGTGTTCGGCTCGTTAACTTATCGAACGAAATTAACGAACCGAACACGAGCTGTTCGCAAAAAAAAAAAGTTTTTTTTTGACAGAACATTAACGTACTACCACGAGAATATTTTCTTGAAGCTCCATCACTTGTAGCAGATTGAACTATCAGTGGAGTGCATAATTATGCAACTTAAGTTGAAATGTGAGTAAAAGAAGACAGAGGATCACATCATAACTAGGTATTTGAAAGGCTTGAAGCCCGCCAACAGTAATGTGGTCCAACTGCAACTCTATTGGACACTAAAAGACATGCAAACTTTAGCTTTGAAAGTAGATAGATAGTAGAAGCAGAGCTAAACACCATTGTCAATCAGACCACCACCCACAATTGGAGACCTTAAGAGGAGCATGCCTCACAGAGTGGAAAAGAATAGTCAGGAGCAAGACAGAGCCACTCATAGTGAGAATAAGCTTCAAAAGAGTAGCAAACTCACTACAATTCCCACCAGGAAATACTTCAAATACCATGATTTTGGACACACCACTTTTAGTTGTTCGATGAGTCGAGTTATGTTCTAAATCGAGTAGGGTGCAATGGAGGAAGTTAGCAATGAGGAGATAATTGAAAAATATGGTGAGTACCAACTTCCACCCAATGAGGGTAACACTTAAGGTTTGATGGGTCCTACATACTGAGGCAACGAGGGAGCAGCAATGGATTTACCATAAACTATTCTACACCCGTTCCACCATGAAGAGACAGATATACAGTCTCATCATCGATGGAGGGAGCAACAAGAATGTGAAATCTACACATGGTGGGCAAGTTAAGCCTCATGACTTAGAGACATTCTCGATTGTACTTGACATGGTTGAAGGAGAACATGATCATCATTGACAAGTGTCTCATAGAGTTTTTAACTGGGACCCAACTGTAGGATCAGGTTTGGTGCGATATGGCTCCGATTGATGCCCGCCACCATTTGCTAGGGAGATCGTGACAATATGATTGTAAGACTCAAGGTGATGCGTATAGGAACACTTATTCATTTATGAAATTTGTAAAGCATATCGTTCTTATACCTTCCGTGGAGTCGGAGGTTACAGGTGCTCTTACCAGCAAAATATCAGAAGGATCCGTTTTGGTTATGACAAAGCATAACAAGAAAGAACAACTAACTTCAGACATAGGCAAACCAAGATAGAGAGAATTTCAAGATATCCTGTTTGATAGCTTACCGCCATGGTCACCACCACAGAGATTCGAACTGCCCTCGCTTCAAATCAAGTTAAGCCAATCTTGAGTTACTTTGAGAGGATCAACAAAATATACAAGACACAAATTCTTAGTTTAGTTCAATAATCTACCCTAAGAATTTTGGACCAATATGAATGTATGAATCATTATCCAATAATTATTTTCCCACTCTATTCTACATAAGCCATGCTCATACCACATCAAAATGAGCATGGCTTGGTATGTTTGCCTAAACATCCATATTTACATGTATATTACTCAAATCTTTTACATCAACTCAAAAATATCACACTCACTACCTTCTTAAAGGTGAAACATACATTTTTGTGCAAAATTTTATGACAGCAAATGTTATAAATGTAAGTATCAAACTTTGGGTGTTAGAAATGTAAATATAAAAGAATTGTGTGGTATGTATGTAAATTTCCCATATATATATTATCATTTTGATAGATTTGACGTTCCCATTCTTTATCATGAAGTTTATTTCATAAATAAAATTAAAAATAAATAAATTTCAAGATCAAACTGCTAGAGCAGTCTATAAATTCAGGTCGCGAGTAACACTAAATTTTGAAGTACCAAGTAATTAAATATTTTAATTATAAAGTTTGTTTATAGTAAAATAAATTTTTTTTATTGAAAAATAAAATTTTCTAGCATTTATGAATAAATTCAAATTCTATTCCAGAAAAAAAGATAAATTATAAAAATAATATATGAATTACAAAATAAAATAAAATATAAAAACATTGGAAATGGAGTAGGCACACCACCTGATCATTTGGAGGACAGTAGCTCCCATTTGTGAATTTACGGCAGCAACCAAATGCTTCTGGAGACAACCATACCAGGAAGTCATCAAGCCATGAGGCAGCTGGCTTGGCAATAAAACTGGATTCTGGATTTAATGATGCTTTTGTAATCTGTACAGGAATTAAGTTTTCTGATAATTGATTACAAGGGAAGATCTAGATAATAATGAACTAAACAGCTAAAGCCAGCTTATGTAAAAGCTTTTTGCAGGAAGAACTAGCATCAAATCAGTTATATTCATCAGTTTTACCTCATTCAAAAGAGAGTTTGAATCACAGTGGTTGATGGAGCATATCTTGTTTGTTTGATTTGATTCCAAGCTGGTAGGCCAAATAGGTAAAGGTGTATGAAAAAACTTATCAGTGAGGCTTTCTTTCAGATACAACAATGGTCTCAAAGGTCAGAGATAAAATGAAATCAAGTTTGTTGGCGGTTGGAATAACTGCTAAAACTGAAGGCGGTTGTTTTGTAATAAAACAAGGATTCGTCGGGAAAATAAATAAATCAAAATGAAAAGTTCAATTACTAATATACAAAAAAGGAATATTTACATACAAAACACTCTATTCCTATGAATGTAAATACATAGGAAATGGGTAATATGTATGTAAATGTCCCTATAAGAAAAAGCAGGCTAGACAAATGTAGTTTTAATTCCGTAATTGGATCACATTTGCTAGGCAAACATCGAGGCATAAAATATTCTCCGAACTGACGTCAAAGTCACCAATGCGTGGGGAGTACTGCCATAAAGTATATTAAGCAATCAGCTTTTTTAAGTTAAATATGAACACCCCAGCATCGGATAACAGTAATGAAAAGAGAGAATCTTGCACAGAATCTTGCTCTGAAGATTCTTATCAACTTCAATAAAGTAGAAAGAGAAATTAATGATTAAAGGGAAAAGATTTTCTTCATTTCTAAACCAGTAATCATTTCAAAATAAATAACAAAATATATAACGTGGGCTTTGAAGCCAACTCTTAGAACAAAAGTTTTATCTGTAAAAAAATTCACCAGAGTACTGTCCAGGAATAATTATAATGAAATGATTGTGCGCGCACCAAAATATTTGGGCTGTATATGTGTGACCAATGCGGCCCACACACTAGAATTAATATTAATGAATGATGCTCAAAATTAAACAAGAGCTCAACTTTTGATTGATTTTAGACCAAATTGATGCATGATGTTATGGTTTTAGGTTTTCTAATGCACCTCTAGCATGAGAAGCTCAAAGAAACACATAAAAGATCATGATTCACAATATTTCAAGCTTTAATTTAAAAATGTTTAATCTTTTTTAAAGCCAAAAAAAAAAAAATCTCCACAAAATAATGTAAAAGTTCTCAAAATTTAACATTTTATAAAAAATCCGAGAATGAATAACACAACATAATCATTCAAATTTCAAATTACAAAAATAAAAATCAAGATAGCAAATTTGATAAAATCTCAATCATGCCATAAAATATTTAGGGAGAAGGAACAATGGCAGAAGCCACCAATTCAAATGCCATCTAATACTGGTACAAGGATAAACAACTCCCATAAGATGCCTTTAAAACTTGAGACTGGTGCGGGAGCAGTTCCGCAATCCCCGCTTACATGGGATCGAGATCAGGATGGAATCACATCCCTTCGAATCTTGTAGCAAAACTTTCCTGCCTATTGACTGCTGCCAGACCTTGTGGGTTCCATTTTTTTATAATATTTGAAATATAGTTAGGGTTATTTTGATTTGCAAAAAATTATATACTGTTAATTTCTAATTTTAGAACACTTGCTTTTATTTTATGTATTTAGAGATCGTTTTATCTAATTTTTTATCCATAAATAGTGTTGCATCCTTTTCCTTTTGCAAGTTTTGCATCTGTACAGGAATATGTGGTCGATCTCCTTCAGCTCCCGTGTCTCACTACATTCATTCCATTGTTTTCAGTCAGGATAACAACCTAACTTCTCTAATCCCCTTTCACACTCCGCCAACTTCACATATTTACCCAAACAACAATAAAAACATAAATTTTATTGCTGAAATTAAAAATGGATACAGACATGACACTGAAAAAAGAAACAAAATAGCAACATGATACCCAGTATGGCGTAGTACGGCGGGATGATGCTGCATTTGGAGAGAATGTAAAAGCTATGGCAGCTGTGTAGTGGAAAGATGGTAACCTGGAGGGGAAGGGTAGCTTGTGGAAGTAACGGGTGAGGCCTATGTGGAGGCTATAGTAGGGGAGAGTGGCTGATAGGTAACCTAAGGGACGGGACAGCAAGTAGGAAGGCTGGAAGAGGTAGGTAAGGGGAGATAAAACACTGTCTCGGAGTGGGATACAACCGAAACACCACCTGTCGTCGAATGCAGCCCTTAGCAAGAGAGAAAAGGACTCTAAAGAAGGAATCTGAACATAGTAGCCAAAAAACTGCTCCTTACAACAAGGAAACAATTTATAGACTCTTATGGGAGAAGAAGAGGAAAGAAATAGAAAAGGAAATCCCCACATAAAAAGAAAGAGTGGGGGAGACAGAATTATTCCAAAAAATAGCCATTAAGGACCTTCTAGATAGAGGAGGGCGCAAAAGGAAGGCATAGGAGGGGCGATAGTTCCACCTCTCCCCAAAGATCGTGAGAATGCCTTCCGGTCCTCTCCAGAAATAACGACTCCTTCCTGGACCGCTCTCCCCCCTTCCGCCCTTCACAAGAAGTCGCAAGCCTCCCGCTTGGACCGCCCTGCCTTCCGCCATTTTCCAGAAGATGCGAGACTCCCGCCCGAACTGGTTGTGGTAGTTATGCCAGCCTGTTCAGCCGACTAGCGCTTTAGCGCCCCCGTAACTTGCTATATCCTTAACCCCTCCTTTCTAGATTAGATCCTAGGATACTTTCCTAGAGATATAGAATGACCTCATTTGATATCAGAACTCGACAAATTCTACAACTTTAGCGATTTGATTTCTTTACTGCTAAATATTTATCCACATTATCTAATTCATCTACCCTCACCCTTACACCTTTCGACCACCCAAAAGCACCTTCAGATTTTGTCTGAAACACTAAAAAAGAGAGACACCATGTCGCCAAGGGGAAACCGTCACGACTTGGTCCGATGCCTAGAATTAACCAAAGAAGAAACTGTAGTTGAACGATATTAACAATTCATTTTACTTTCCTTAAAATATTTTAGAAACTTTCAACATATAAAAGAGACACTAATCCACAAAGTGCAAAAAATTTAAACATCCAAAAACATCATAATCGGAAGACAAAATCTCAGACTAACATATAAAGTGTCTCTATATAGAAATAAATAATAAAACCAACTAAAGTCATATTATAAACTAATACCCATTAGTAGTAGTAGTCATTCTCTTGTAAACCAAATCTCTCTTATCAGACACATCAAATTAAATTTTTTCTTCTCCTGAAATAAAATATTAATTGAAATTATAAGTATAATTTAGTAAGTAATTATAACCTAATATGCGTTTAATTTTTATGTTATGCATGAATGATCAAAAGAAAATACAGTTTATTTCATTAAAACTTTGAATTATCGCTCCTCATTTCGTTTTAATTATTTACAAATTTAACCTCTTTAATAGTCATCATAGGATTTTTATCATACCTGAAGATATCCTAAAAAATGTGTCTAAAGTCACCCTTAACATTGCACCAAAAGATACCATAAAAAATGTGTCCAAAGAGACCCTCAAAATTATACTTGAAGGTACACCTTTATTATTTCCTTTAACGTGCATGGTTCCATCATAACCCCTACCAGTACCATCTGAGGGTAATTCTATATGACTTTATCCTTTACTTAACATTTCATATTAATAAAATATTTTAAAATGTACATTCATATATAAGTTATTTTCTTCCAATTTCCTACGATATTTCAGACTTTCAATATGTAAGGTATAAGTGAAATACTTACTTTATAAACCATTTAATAAAACAACTATGCATTTACTAATACATTAATTTAATGCATAGAAGAAAATAATCACTCAGCTTTAAAAGATCTATGAAATACTTATCAAGCCACAATACTTCCCCTAACACTTTGACTTATCTATCATCCTTTAATTCAACTATTTTACAAAATTAAAATTACTAAAATTAATTCATGAAAATTGTTGATATGCAATTAATACCAACTTCAATCAAACAAATTTACATAATTAATGCATACAACGTATAGATCTTTACCTTATCCTTCTTTGAATGACTTGATCCACCCCTTTCTCAAAACCCAAGAATTTATCAAGTCTTCGAATCCTGATTCAAGTAAGTTTTATTTAACATTATGTGTGTGTGTATATATATATATAATTTTTTTTGAGATAGCCCAAGGGCTAATATATATAAAAAAAAAAAATACAGATAAATTGTATAAGAGGGTCCAAGCATGACACTATACCTACACGATAAACACCACATGCAAATGGTTCAAAAAAAAATACATGAGAGCTCAAATAAAATCAAAAGTGTCAAAATACGTAGTATCAGGTAGCTAGAGAGCAACCCAATTTTGCCCTGCCTCTGCCTCTAGTTCCAGGAAAGGACCCAGCTAATAAATTGGTAAGATGAGTGTCATTTTCAGTAGGACCAATGTATCGTCCAATAAGTTCCTGAGCTCGAGTCGGCCTCCATTCTTTTTCTTCCTCCTGGAATAGACCCGTCATTCATCATCTGAAGACTGACTCACCTGATCAGTGGATTGGTCTAAAGTGTGTCGGACATGTGTAGGTTGTTGAATATTAGAAGCAACTACTTGTTGTACCAGCTAATCTTTTATTAGATAAAATGAACACTCTCGTGTGTCTTGACATGTAAGCGAGTCTTCTTCAATAACAGTGAGTTGTATATGCACTTTTGGATCTGTACTTGTAGTATGAGAAGATGCTTCATGGTATTACAAAGTATCATGCTCCAAACCAACAACTGAAATAGAGTGTTCAAAAACAGGTGCATCTAGGGGTAGAACGGCTTGGGTATGGTGTTCTTCATCAGGAACTACGGTGTTGGAAAGAGGGTCGGGTTGCACCTTATCAGCAGGGATGGTAGGTGGCAAGAAGTTTACCTCCAATCCAGCATGAAAAGAGCTTTGAACAAGTTGCTGATATTTAGCAATATCCGATCTTAGATGAGAATGCAAACGATCACAGATAGTAGAATTGTGACCAAATATATTACAATGAGAGCAATAAGGAGGATGTGGTTCTATTTCAGCCTTTTGCCAATACCCGTTGTGAGTGATTCCAATCCATACCTCATCCGGAGCTAGTTCCAATCCATAACATTATATATAATGATCTTTGTTGACAAAACCTCAGTATGACCCTTAGCGAAAAAGTAGCCTCTAGAACTAATATATGTTCGAGGATTTGGTAACTGGTGGTTCCTCAAATAATCTGTTTTGCCCTTAGTTATCACACAAACATCAACATTGCTTCCACTTCCCAAATCAATGAAGATACCATAACATATGGCCTCACAAACAAGCTTTATTCCATCCTCCCTAGTCAAACCTTCTTTGTATTTCGATTAAAAAACAACCAATGCAGCTAGAGAACCAGAACCCATCATAGCGAATGGGAGAGTATCACTCGAACAATGTGGATAAACTGTATGCAAATGTGGTCCAGTCACATCAACACCCCCAAGGACCAATGCATCACTAACATAACCTTGGTAGCTAAATAAGTGTGATTTCAAAAGGGTAAGCGCAGTGAAAACCCTTGATTCACGCCCAGTTGCATAGCGGTGCAACTGCAACAGAGAGCTTACCGTGTTTGTCACGACCTTAGTGTCTGCAGCAGTTCCAACTCCACAACAATAGATGTTTGGTGCCATGTAATGAATCTTCTCACAATTCTTATCGACAACTATAGGTCCTTATGTTGCTATTGTATCAGCTCCTATAATAACCCCATCCTAAAAAACTAAGCCAACAATGGTGGTTCTGGTCTTCCTAAAACCCGGGAGCTGTACTCCCTTCTTCACGAGCATATCGTTCCTCCGGCACATATCAAAACTAAACCCACCCTTCAGGGGACCATCTAACAAAGCTTCCCCCATCCGATCTGAAGGAGACGAAGCGCAAAATGAGGACGTTTTTGATAAATATATAACATTTAAATAATTTGCATCATTTAAATATAAAAAATTACCATATAAATTGTTCAAATTGATCCTCCCCCTAATTCACACGCTCCTCCAAATTCTGTTTCGAATTTGAAATCATTAATTGTCAATCTTAATTTCAATAAACCTTGTCAATAATATTATTAAACACGTCCACATATTATAACACATTCATTTAATAATATAAATGAATTAATTTATTAAAAATGTCAATTATACCTTGCAAACTTTCGGCCTGCCCTAACTCACGCGAGCTTAGTAGCAGAGAGCTTTCCCCTTCTTCTCCTTGGGTCTCTGTGTGACCCAGAAGCACAAGTAAAGATCGTCGGCTCTCCTTCCCCTCTGAACTGAGTAGAAGATCTCCTTCTTCCTCCTCTTCTTCAGCTTCTTTTCCTTCGCACTGCACTAGTAAGAAGCTGCAGTTTCCTCCTCGATCGCGGTTCGGTCAAAGTATGCCTACGACGCTGCTGCCTCCTTCTCCTTCCTCAGCCTTTGATTCGACACAATACCGAAATTTCTTCTCCTTCCTCTTCTCCTTCGCATTACCCAACACTGCACAGTGGCCATGCTTCCTCCTGCGACTTCTTCCTTCGGCTATGGCATGATAGTTTCTCCTCTCTCGATCTCTCTCTCGCTTGTTCGTCGAATAAGGTAACTGTTAAAAATCATATGTTATGATTCCTCGAGAGTTGCGACTATTTTAATTGCTCACACCTTTTCATTTATTTCATCATCATCATCATCATCATTATTATTATTATTTTCTATTATTACAAAAACACACTGTCACAACCGTACACGGGGCTTGTAATTAAAAAAATGGGTACAAATGGTCGAACAGTGGGAACTAAGCTTTCTATATTCATTCTCTACAAATAATATTTTACAAATGAAAGAGTCACTAAAAAAATTAAATTAAAGTAGTCTAATTAAATTAATCTCATAACAAGTTTTCCCCGTCTTCTATAAATATTTAATCTTCTATCATTCATCTTTTAATCAACTAAATTAACCTAAAGTTAGTTTAAAATAACACTAAGCTAAATAAAGCCAGTGAATACTCATACTCCTAAGCTACAATAATACAAGAAAAAACAAATTAACATGCATGTCAGTTAAGCTTTTAATAAATCAAAACTTTTGATATCTTAACATATCTATATCATATATATCTTTACAATCGTCACAAAAACATAGTCTAAAAATTTGTATCAATTAATATACCTCAATATTAATATCCTTTTTCATTTACGTGCAAATGTATCTTAGCATTCTCACACTCTTACCATAAATTGATAACTCTATCATAATCAATCACACATATACAAGTAGTCAATATAAACATATCATTCATGTGCTCATCACATTCAATTTAATACACTATATATAACATATACCAATGCATAATTGTAAGTATCTACAAACAATCATATCAATGTGGCCACAAAAAAAATATATATAAATCAAAATAAAGCTTGTACAAGTATCATTATCTGCTAATGCAAAATAGTAGAGAAGACACAAAATAATATCATAGATTAAAATTACGAGGGTTTACTTCGATGTCGATCAATTAATTATTTGGTTTGTCTTGACATTGACTCATTTAAAATTGGAAGCCTAAAATAAATATGATATAAAATTTATTTAATTTATTATTTTCATAAACTATAAACTTTTATTATTTAAGTTTTAAATTTTTATCATTTTATTTTATGTAATCCTAATTGTTTATATATATATATATAGACACACACACACACACATATATGCATAAAATTTTTGTTAAAAATTATTATTATTAAAACTCATCTTTATAACTTATTTTGGTCGAGCCCAAAGCCATAAGAGAAGGAGCTTGTCTCCCTCCCTCTGTACTTGGGATGCACGTGCCTTCCTCACAGTCACCTTCGACTCCCTCGATGGCAACTTAACACCAATGCCGACTCCTCTACTACGCTTGAGCCCCCCACACCGCTTCCTCTTCTCTTCCACGATGACCGGCTAGGTCGAGTGCCTTAACGTATACAGCTTCCCTTCTTGCTGCAACCTTTTTTTTTGCAAGCACCGCGCCGCTACCCTAGCCTACTGGACAAAGCAGGTAAGTCGACTTCAACAATTTATAGAGCGAACTTAATCTCCTTGCTGCATCTCCCCCCACTTCGGCTTGCACGACTTGTCGCTTCCACACCCTTTCTTCAGTTTCTGCCTCCTTGCCTCATCTTCCTCACGACATCACACAAACAAAGGTATGTCAAAGATTACAATGAAAAATATATAAAGGGAGATCTACAAATACAATAAAAGCTTGCCACATTTGAAAGAAGACAACATAAAGATGTCATACTTAGCCATAATGTTGACTTGAAAGACTGAGAGTTGGGAATTAGCCCCTTTGACCATAAATTTTCTAGTGATAAAGAACCAATGCCCCAATAATTTAAAATTAAATTTCTGAAAAGAGATAATAATTTTGGAGTGAAGATAGATTTACTAAATTTTGACGATCATATGAATCCACATTCCCTGCTTTTTGCCGCCTGCCCCCACCTTCCCGCTTACTGCCACAATCCCCTCCCACCTTCCTACTGCTGCTGGCAGCCTTTCTGTAGGTTGTCGACAGCTCCTTCCACCTTATTGCTTTTTTCCGCCTACCCCCACCTCGCACCTTGCTGTCGCAATCCCCCTCCCACCTTCATACTGCTGCCGCAAAAGCCCTCCCAACCTCTTACACATGCTTTCCACTACTAAACCTAGCTAGCCTGTCTGTTTGCTACTGTCAACTCCACCCGCCTTCCGATTTTGGTGTTGTCACTCCCCACCAGCCCCTACTATTCGTCATCACAACCCCAACCAGCCGACCACGTTGTTGTCAAGCTGCAACCCACCACTTTTGTTCTCGCCCTAGGGGTTGTTGGTAGTCATTGTCGTTTTGTTCATGTCACAAGTGTCATTGTTGCAAACTTTTCGATTTTTTTAGCAATATTACTGTGTTTCTGTTTGAATTTAAATTAACTCTGTATCAATTGATATCAGAGTCAACCTAACCATAATCTTATTTTAGGATTTCCTAGCATCCGACATACCCAAGTCAAAAGAAAGGGATAATGATCTCACCCTTCTGGCTGGACTCCAGGAACCTTCTATTTCACAACCAATTGATAATACTTGGAAAAGGATTTATTGTCATACAAGATGGCAGCACTCACTCCATCACAGGGGAAATATTTGTGTACATGATACACACGCAGAGCTGCGTGTGTAATAAAACCGCAAAAACCTCCACTTCGCGGTTATTATGGGGTTATTGAGAGGTTATTGAAGTATTAATTCCAATAACCTTCACGAGTTCTATTTCGATGTTATTCATAGATAATTATGTGGGTATTGCGGGGTTAATGGAGTAAGCACGCAGAATTGCGTGTGTATTACGAATGCAAATATTTACCCCATCACAGAGAGTAAATGTCATGATTAAAATTTCCATTAACCGACCCTATATACGGTTTTTTTAATTTTCCATAATTCAGTTACCTCTCTCATTTCTATTTTTCAATTCACTTGTGACAACCACTGTGATTGTATGTTCACTCCAACTTCAAACGTGTGCATCAATAAACTGATGGGACCCCTTTTTTTGTCAAGCTGAGTTTGCCTTCAACAGGCCTTTAAAGTCAAAGTACAAGGAGGAATGGATCAAAAGAAGGATACAGCACGAACACCACAAAACTTGAATTCATGTACCGTTCACTTTAAGTGAAGCTTTAGAGGAGTTCTAGGGAAGAGCCAATTATATATATTATAATGTGGACAAACCCTCATAACCTAAAGCTGAGCCAATTTCTCAAATAAATTGTCTCAATGACAAAATGTCCTTGTGCGCTATTGATTACATTCAAACTAATTGCATCGGAAAATACAAGCATAATCACAAACTATTCATGTAAGCGGTCGGATTAATCAGTACCTATAGTTGAAGCCTTTGACAACAAAATAAAGCGGTGGACCAACTCTGAGATAATTCGCAAGGTCATCGAAGTAACCCTGCAGTAAATTAACACAAAAAGTCACACAAAACAAATTGGCAGCTTCAAAAAATTTCGATCAAACAAATCATTAGTGGCATGACCAGGAACCTGAAGATAAGAATCTCTGGGAAGGACAATCTTTTGCTCCAAACCAGCTTGAAGCCTTGTACAGAGTGCCTATCAAGTATTCGCTTAAATATTTCAAATTCAAACAGAAGTAATGATACAAATATTCAAGTGAAAAATATTGCACTGATATATTTGATTCACTAATTCAAAAGGATTTCACCAGAATTTTGTATTGCATGAGAACTCTTGTGGTTTAGTGGTTATTTACGATATGAATATTATTGTGGATTGTTATATATGTTGGAATTGTGTATCTCTACCGTCCCCTTAAAAATTCCAAGCTCCCAAGTTGATAAATTACAAAAGAGTTAATTAATTATTTGTGTACAACAACAACAACAACAACAACAAAGCCTTAATCCCACTACGTGGGGTCGGCTACATGAATCCTTTTTCTCCATTGCGTCCTATTTAGTGTCATATTTTCATTTAGTTCTAGTAAATTAAGATCATTTTTAATACAATAAGCCCAAGTCTTCCTAGGTCTACCTCTGCCTTTCTTAACACAAGTCAAATCTAAAACATCTACTCTCCTAATCGGATCATCTAATGGTCGACGTTTAATATGACCAAACCATCTAAGACGACTTTCTCTAATTTTGTCTGTCACAGGAGCTACACCAACCCTATCACGAATATATTCATTCCGCATTTTGTCTCTAAGTGTAAAGCCACTCATCCACCTAATCATTCTCATCTCGGCAACACTTAACTTATTATTATGCTTCTCTTTTAAAGGCCAACATTCAGCGCCATAGAGCATTGCAGGTCTCACCACCGTCTTATTAAATTTTCCTTTCAGTCTTAGCGGTACTTTTCTATCACACAAAAGGCCCGAAGCATTCCTCCACTTCAACCAACCAACTTGAATCTACCTATTAACATCCCCATCTATATCACCATCGCTTTGGACAACGGACCCAAGATATCTAAATCGTTCACACCTTTTAATAATTTGATCACCCAAATTTCATCTCACTATTGCATGGCAGCCAAAATGGCGAGTGAGCTACATTGTCGAAAATTGGCAAACAGTCATGTAATTAGATTAACTAGGTAATTAAGATAAATTTAATTAATTTAACAGATTATTTATAAATTCAAATATATTAATAATACATACATACTTTTGTATATAAATTTGATCAAGATAAATTATAGAATTTTATAAAAATTGTTTGGAAAATTATCAGGGAATGAAAAAAATGGGATATATTTTAAAATAAGTTTCAATTCGCCTCTTTAGTCCAAATTGGGTGATACTAAAGTTAAACCACAAAAACACGAAAACCAAATATTATTAATGAACCAAATGCGAAATTACAACAGGACAACTAAAATAGGAAATAATAATAAACATGACGCATAAAATCTAAAAATTACAACAAATGACAACACAAACGCAACAAGGGTGGATCTCAGAGTGGTGGTAGTGATCGGCGAGGGTTTAGAAGGTAGCACGATGGTGGACGAGGGTGTGGGCAAGTAAAGAATAGCATGAGAACAATTTCCCGAGCTCCGGACAGCAAGCATGCAGCGGGTATCAATGTAGATTTTAGAGTTTTAGGATCATCTACTCCCGTACCAAAATTAATGTCGTGTTTATTGCAATTTTAGATTTCTGGAATCCTTTAAATTCTTGTGTAAATATTAGAGCATCTCCTGGAATCAACGTCAAGTATGACCTCAATACAGTGAAAAATGTGCAATGGTTGATACACCAACACCCGGGTGTAGTGTCAAATATGCAAGAGTTCCTACATTACGGACAGATGCGGACAAATAAGTTGGTCAATGAAAGTAATACTAGGTTAAAATCTTGGAATATAGATACTCTCACAGTAAATTAATGGAATTAATTGATATTATGATTTATATGAAAATAAATATCTTATGTATTTAAGAAACTAAATGAGTAGGAGAAAATGCTAAAGACATTGATAGCTTAGGTTTTAAACTTTGGTATTCAGGTAGGAGTCGCATTAGAAATGATGTAGATATAATTATAGATAAGATTTTGAAAGATAATGCTGTACAAATAAATAGAATTGGAGATCAAATTATAGTCATTAAGATTGTTGTTGATACTAAAATTTTTAATGTTATAAGTGCTTATGCTCCTTAAGTATGGTTTAGATATAAATTCTAAAGATAAATTCTTGAATGACCTAAAAGAATTAATATAAATGACATCTCTTGAAGAAATAATTTTTATTCGAGGGGATTTAAATTGACATGTTGGTATAGTAGTTTGACATTTTAGAAACATTCATCGTGACAACAATTTTGGAGTGATTAATAAAGAATGTATAACCATATTAAATTTTACTTTAATGTATTATTTCTAATATTTATGTATAAAAAGAGATGAACATATTATGACTTGTAAGAATAGATCTAATAAAACATAAATTGATTTTTTTATGAGAAGAAGAGATCGTCGAGAATGTAAAAATTGTATAAGTACTCAAGATCGATTATTAATTTTGCATTTTAAGATGAAGAGATGTAAGATAAAGAATACTAGGAATCATTGTCATAGAATTAGATAGACACACCTAGAAGATAAATAAAATTATTTTTATGAGTAAACTTCAAAATTTCAAGATTTGAGATGTTCATGAAAAAGCCAATTCTAAGTGAGATAAAGTAACATACATTATTAAGTGACAAAAGATGTACTTAGAGAATCAAAAGGAAAATTTTTTATAAATAAAAATAGTTATTGTTAGAAAAATAATGTGCAAGAAAAGATAATATAAGAAGTTATGTTATAAAAAATTGTTTAAATGTAAACGCTTAGAGAATTGAGAAAAATATAAGCTGCTTGTAGGGAGTCAAAAAACAATTTGACACTAAAAATTATATTTTTAGTAATCTTTATAATAGATTACATACTACATAGAGTGAAAAATATATGTATAACCTAGTCAAACAAAACAAAAAGAAAAGTAAATAATTAACTCAAGTAAAGTATATTAAAGATGAAAATTAAAATTGTTTTTCCTTGAAGAGGATATTCAACATAGTTGAGTGAGCTATTTTGACAAATTTTTCAATGAAATTTCTGAAAGTACGATCGTTCTTAGTGATTTTAACATATTTAATAATAAAAAAATATTTTTTTCGTCGCATTTGTAAAAAAGAAGTTGAGGATGTTTTAAAGAGAATAAGTGTGAAAAATTAATAGGACCTGATTATATACTCATTAAAGTGAAACTTAGGAGATTTCAAAATTTCTTGGTTTACTACTCTTTATATTATTTTAAAAACTTAAAAGATGTCTCAGGAGTGAAGGAAGAGTAGTTTGGTCCCCATTTTAAGAATAAAGAGGATGCATAAGAGTGTGTTTATTATAGAAGAATTAAGTTGATATGTCATACATTAAAATTATTGGAGAGGGTAACTGAACATAGGTTAAGATGTAATACAAAGATTTCTCATAATTGGTTTGGATATGTCAGACAGGTCTAGTATGGAATCTATACATTTATTGAGAGGTTTGATAGACAAGTACAGAGAGAATAAGAAGACTATACATGTAAGCTATGGTAATCTGAGGTGCATGAAGAGAGAGACCTTTGTACAAATGAGGACCAGATAGTTTCCGGCTCATCAAAACCCAACCATTGATCAGAGAAGATCGATCCAACTCATGCGACTATTCCTACATTAGACGAGGCCATTATTGCGATGATACAGGAGGATGGTCGCATGAAGCTACACTCTGAGCCGAGTGATTTTTTGGGTGCACGATCAACATTGGATGTTGCAAGCCCAAGTACGCTAGGTGTCCAGGGGGAGACTCGCAAGTGCTGCAACTGTGGTGAAGTTGGTCATCTCAATAACATGTCCTAAACCACCTAAAGAGAAGGAGAAAAATGAATGTGGAGAAGATGGAGGTTGTGATCATGGTCGTAGACATCGAAAAAATGGAAGAGGGGGCTACCAGGCAAATTTAATGGTAGCAGAGGACGCCGGAGAGACACATGTGATCATTACTAGTGAGGATCATGAGTGTCTGGAGTTGTCAACGAGGAAACAAAAGGCAACAAGAGATGGAAATGGGGAGGTTTCAAATAAATCGATATCAAGGGGTAACATTGCCACTTATGCTTGCTTCAGTAAAGATACTGGTGACACACACGCTCTTGCCTCTATGTCCACCACATAATCATCACTCATCTAGCAAAATCAGAGAGTATACAGACTGTTCATGGTACAATGTAGCCTACAGTTAGTAAGGGTACAGTGAGATGTACCAATCATATGACATTGTTCAATGTTTTGCATGCTCCTCTTCTAGTAAACATCTTATCTATTAGTGTTATTATTCTCACTGCCATTGTCGGTTTCAAGCCCAGATGCGAAAAGTGGAGGGTTGCGTTAGGTAGTCGACAACCAGTGTAAAATTTGTTGAAAAAATCATAACATGAATCATTTTGATCATTGTGTAAGTGCTAGGTTATCCCCTGGAAGTGACACATTGTATTGCCTGAATACAGTGAAAAGTGTGCAAATGCCGCTACACCAGCGCCTAGATGTAGTGTCAATTAAGCAAATGTTCCCGCATTACGGACGGATGCAGGTACAAAAGTTAGTCCATGAAATTAATAAAACTAATATTATGATAGGATCTTAGAGTATTGATACTCTTAATGATAAATTAATGGAATTAATTGATATTATTATTCATAGAAAGATTAATATCTTATGTGTTCAAGAAACTAAATGAGTTGGAGAAAAGACCAAGACTTTAATCTTTGGTATTCTGGTAAGAGTCGTGCTAGAAATGCTTTAGGTGTAATTATAGATAAGAATTTAAAATAAAGTTGTAAAAATTAATAGAGTTAGAGATAAAATTATAGCTCTTAAGATTATCATTGATACTAAAATTTTTAATATTATAAGTGCTTATACTCCTGAAGTAGGTTTAGATATAGAGTCTAAAGATAAATTCTGGAATGACTTGGAAGACTTAATACAAATGATACCTGTTGAAGAAAGAATTTTTATTGGAGGAGAATCAAATGCACGTGTTCGTAGAG